TGATAAATAAGATGCCTGTTTTGGAGCACAACTGGGTCAATAAGTTGAACATTGTACGCTGTTCCTCCAATTAAACTCCTATGAGATAGCTCAATTATAATTAGAGGAGCAATTATTCCCTTGTTAAAGGTGAAACAAATCAAGGTTTAGTGAAAAATTCAGCGTCGTTCCTTCTGCTATGCCAACAAATCTTGTATCTATTGCTGTTTGGATCCCAGTCCTCTCCAAAAGAGATAATACAATGAAATAAAGTATCTCTGAGTGTCTTTGTGGCTCACCATGTGACAACAACATTTTCTAGGCATAAACTAAAATGAGCAAGGAGGGATTAATTTCACTGAGTGCTGCTGTTATGCCGGCGGGGCAGCCCAGCACCCACGCGTGGACGTATTAATTTCCCAGCTTCTTTAGGGAGATGGGGGTGGGACAGTTTCTATTGGAGGGAGGCAAAGCCTCCCCAGAAATAAAAGAATTACATTTTTGCCTAGATCCTAGCAAAAAGAGTTATCAAAAATACTAAGCAATACAATTTTAGAGTATTTCTAGGAATTCTTTTTCTTTCACCCAGTCTAGACTTTTAATTTTAATATGATTATGATTAAACTGCCCTATAGTACTGAACTAGAGTAACCATGAATGGCCTTTTATTCCCGGTCCTAGTGGGTCAGAACCCTCACCCCACACTGAGTCTTCTCTGTAGGGTTGCATCTTCAGAGGTGACAAACATCCTTTTTCTGGAAAGTTCCATGTCCTGAGTTGCAGCCTGTGTGCCACGTCCATCAGGGACTCTTTATTTCATTTAGTTAAATATGCTTAAGAGAATCTGCTAAGGAAGCTACAGTCAGCTGGTTTAGAGATAAACATAAACCCCCCTTTTTGCTCCTATTTTATTTCAATCTAATTAGACAGCAGAGGAGTAAACAGACACATTTGAACACAAGTAGTAGTCAGAGCTATATAAAGTTGTGGTATATAGAGGGTGACATTCAGCTAGTCACACTGGCTCATCCATGCCAGGTGCTGATATGATTGTTCTGTATCTGCTGCTAAATAACAGAGTGCCCTTCACCCCCATGTGCCAGCCGGCTCACTGGGACCCTGGGCCACCTATGATTCAGCAGCTAAAGAGTTTATACCTTTATATGGCACAAGGGCCTCAGACTCTTCTCTGTGCTAAGGAAGTCGCCCGGTTGTTAAGCATTTTAAATAAAAAAAAAAATAGGTATAAAGGGAGGGCTTGGTAAGGAGACCAGAGGAAGAAGCAGCCAGGCCTAGAGCTCTGAACCACTGCGCCTCATCCCAAGGTGCCCACAACAGAATTTTCTTAACGGATGAATATTGAGAGGAGTTCTTAGCCAAAACTGTCACCACCTGGAGAGATGGAATAAGGAATTGTGGTTTGGCCCCTTTCCTCCTCTGAGGCTTTCCCCATCATTCTCTTTCCTTCACAGCACATAGGAAAACTACCAACAGCGCCTCCAGCCCAGATTTCCCCTTTGGGAGGAAACATGAGGGTTGGGCCAATGTCTTGGGATCATGATGACTAAATGGTGAGCAGTAAATTTAAAAATCAGAGGAAGGGCAGGAGCACATCATGCCTTGTAGGTATTTGTCATTTATACATTAGAGATTTACATAAACAAGGGAGTTTCCTTGTTCTAAAGCTCACAACGTCTTCATCTGTAGCATTTAGGACTCTAACTAAAGCTACCGGCTGGAGAACACAAGAGGGCTTCTTGGTGATTCTTCATAGGACAGAGGCTTTGCCCCTCCTGCCCCATAGCGCCCAGCAAAGATCCAATGTGCTCAGTGACTATTTTGAATTCGAGAGGTTGAACTCAGTGTTCTGCGAATCAACAGTGATAATAGAATACTAGTACTAATAATGGCTGATGATTCTTGAGTGCCATCTACATGTTTGCATGTATCATCTCATTTAAACTTTACATCATTATCTCCATTTTGTAACTGAGGCAACTTAGGTACAGAGAATTGAAATACCTTGTCCAAAGTCAGAGTTTCAAATGGTGATGTTTGAGTTTAAACCTACAGTTCTGAAAGGAAATTCTTTTAACATTCTGTACTGGAGACGAAAGCCAAAAGAGAGGAGATAACTTAATATTATTTATTACCTCAGAAATGCCTATGGCATTATTTGCACCAAATAGGTTTCATTTAACTTAAGATTAGTAGAGTTCTTTAGAAACTTACAGACCTGTATGGGAAGAAAGAAAATTTTTGCTTTCTGATACTCCACAAAGAATGTACCTGTCTACTTCTCCAATGGAGCTAGGCATATACTCGTAAACCAAAGGTCAATTGACTCGACCAACATGTGTTCACTGAGCATTTACTATCCCGTTCTACAGAATCGTTTGCCTTAGGTAAAAAGGAAGTAGAAATCCTTGACCCTGCGACCTGATAGCTTAAAGTCAGATTTGATTTGTGGTAAAACATAGCCATTTTACCTGCTGGTTTTCCTCTAAGATCAATATTTCATTCTATGCTATTTTTATGCTTTTAGATTCCTCAAGCAAATAAATAGAATATTAAATGATAAATGCATTTATCATTAAATTTAAATAACCTTACGATCCTTTAACTCACTTAGTTATATTTCACCCCTTTCTTTTTCAACTTATCTGCCACTCTTGAGTAAATGATAGTTGTAACATGTCACATTAAGGTATTCACTGGCTTTATGATCTTGGTGAGTCTAAGGGTGTTGAAAGGAATCTACATAGGAGTTTATTAGCCTGCTCTCCAGCACATGTGTTTGATCTCTCCTCTGACTTAAGAAAAAAAATGAAAACACATTAAATATAGTTCTTTTAATGTCACTGGGTATATGATTTTTGAGCTCCCTAAGTGTTAATTGGTCTCTTTTCTAGTGATGCTACAAATAAAATTCACAGTCATTTAGTTTGCAGTCATGAATCTTTTGCTCCTTGACAAAGTGAACCATTAAAAAAGTGATGCAGTTACTAGGATTTTTCACTGAAAGTCTTAGCAATGATCAGTTATCTTTAAAGAAACATCAAGTGAAACGAGGCTATGCATACCCATGTTACCCAGGATATGTTCTGGTCTTTAAGGTAGTTTAATGGAGAAGTTTGCATTAGATTTTATTTATTTATTTATTTATTTATTTAGAAAATGTCTTTATTGATTTCAGAGAGAGGAAAGGAGAGGGAGAGATAGAAACATCAATGATGAGAGAGTCATCGATCGGCTGCCTGTTGCACACCCCCCACCAGGGATGGAGCCCACAACCCGGGCATGTGCCCTGACCGGGAATTAAATAATGATCTCCTGGATCATAGGTGGATGCTCAACCACTGAGCTACGCTGGCCAGGCATTTTAGAAATACAATTAGGAGACAGATACACTATTGTAGTAAGTGAAATGAAATATTGAATAGAGAAAAGTTGTCTCCTTTCTAATCACAATAAGTCATTTTGTATGTCAGTGTTGAAAGATCATTTTGTGTGGTTGGAAAAAGCGGCTATAACCATGCAAAAATCTCTGAAAAGATGCTAGAAAGTGCCATGGAATGCCAGTTACAAAGCAAAAATAGCTCTCTTATTTCAAAATAAAAAAAGAAATTTTATTAAGAGTGTCGCTTTGTGTCTTGTCATTGACACATGAAAACATGAATGGCTGTGATAGAAAATGGAGCCATTTTATAAAGGCACTGCCTAAATTTCTTGTGAAGAGCAATCAGATGTTTAATTTTGTTGTCATGGAGCCAGTTAACTGAGCTGACTCCCACCTTGCTTGAACCTTCAAAAGATTGAAATATATGGAAATCTAATAGTAAGTGCATTGTTAGCTATTAAACTTTTTTTTTTTTTTTGGACAAGTTGTAAGTCTAAGTAGTATTATTTTGCAATTTCTTAATAGGGATAATTCAGGGCATATTTTTACAAAATATCAGCTCACCCATATAGGCCCAAATTGCAACAATTTCAAAAATGCCTCTTTCAATATATGCAATATAGAGTAAAAATTCCAAACAACTTAATGTAGTTTGGAGGCTAACAAGATCCACCAACCAACTGACAGCTATGTCATTTGTCAAATTAAAGTTTTTCTGGGCTTCTAAGATACTGGATCAGCTAAGGCAGTAGTGAGTGTTTCAAGCATGTTAAGATGTCTCCCAATAATCATAAAAGGGTAGTATTTTTGAGGGTCTGAAATTATTTGTAAACAAACATAAGACACAGTATTAGATGATTTCCTCAAAGGCGTGGTCTAAAATGATGGGAATGTCAAGAAGAGCATGGCACTCTCTTCTGGTCCTGTAGGTCTGTCCCCCATAGACAGGCATTTTCAAAGATCTCGGCATTGTATGGCGCTAATGAAAAGTCTTGGTATAAATCTGATTTATATTACTTCATTAACAATATATAGGCTTTGTTTTAGCAAAAGCAGAAAACAAAAATGAAGAGTTTGATGGAAAGCTTATAGGTTAAAATTAATTAACACTTTTAATCCCTCAAACATGTTTTTATTCCTGGTCTGTGAATATGGCTCTTAGGTATATGTCCACGATTACAACATGGAACAGGAAATACATATGTGGAGTGCACAGGCCCACTGACACACACGCACGCGCACACACACACACACACACAAACATACACTTTTTGCATATTATCAAGAACAATAATAAAATTGATGGTACATTTTTAAGTCGTACCATTTCTCTCTATGATAAGCTCCAGATAAAATATAGCAGTATTTCTGAGTTCTTGAAAGAGAATGACAAAATCAAACCAAGCTGACTGTGGCTTTGTCCAGTGGGGCATTCTAATTGACTCCCGAGTCATTAATCAGTTCCCAATCAATCTATTTTGCCAGCAGCAGGCAGTTAGGACTCCATTACCAACCATTCATCATGCCATACCCTAATTCACTGCGCCATTAGCCATGGGTTAGGCCTCTGTTAGAATAACTAAGTGCCAGTTGCTGAATGCAAAGAAATTTTGTTACTCACTTCAGCGACTGGGATCCCTTCAGGTGGTCGACACTGGAGCAAGACTTCCTGTTCCAAGGATACTTCCTTTCCCAGGGGTTCCTGCTCAAATGTCTTCCGTAGATCTGGAAAGCACGAGTAATAAAATACATGACAAAACTGATTTACATTTATTCATTTACAGAAAGTACAATAAAAATTTTCCAGTTTAGTATTTTATGTGTCTTTGTATCTTTTTAAAAACCACATGTTGTTAATACTGTACCAGCATCTGGGTGATTATATTCTGTGTGGTGGAAATTATGAAATTCAGAGGCTATTAACTGTCCCAACTTTAATCTTCACTGGAATGCTTTGAAGATCCTCATATTAACAATTAGTGAAATTCATTCCTTGCATTTTCTTATTAATTCTTGATAATCTATGATGATGATCATAGTCTTAATCAAAAGAACCCCATCCTCATGATTCTTAAACACACAGAGTCCCTTATGTACATATTTTCCTCTCTCTTCACAATGAATACTATTATCATTGTAATAACTCTGAGATCTTTTGATCAATAATTCAAAAGCAAGTTTCCAGTTCAGAGTGTGAAACAGAATGCTGGAGCTCTGAAAGAATGAATATAACCTCTTGAGATGTCTCGGACACAAGGCGGGGAAAAGAGTAACCATTGGAATGGGTCCAGAAATCTCTCACTATATAATTATGTGGCCATTCTTCAATTAGAAAATTAAATAGTTATTTATGCTCAAATACACCAAGTACCTAGTTATGTATTTATATAGTTATAGTTGTCATAGCAATATGGAGGCTTTTAAAAAGTATTATAGAAGGACACAAAAATGTTAGAAACCAGCTTGTCATTCTAAATACCAAAGTTAAAAAAATTAATGGTTCAGCCACAGAGCTTTGAAGCAGCACACCAAAAATTTTATTTCATACTTGTATAATTCAGCTCCTTTCAATAAAAAGTTATTGGAATTTTATCCACTTCATTTTAATAAAAAATTAATGTCTCTGTCCTTTTAACTCATATCCCTGATAAAAACTTAAGAACCTAAAAGTACCAATTTAGCCTGTTGAACTAATGAGTAAAAATCCAAAAGCGCTGGAAGTATATACCTCTAACGTCTTTCACGGAGCTATCAGAAAGCACCACCTGGAGAAATGCACTGAGAAAGAAATCCATTGTTACTACTTGTCATTTTGTTAAATTTTTTGGCAAAAGAAAACCTTAAAGAGCTTAGGGATTGTAAGAAAATTATGAATCTATGTAAGTCTGAGGTAAGACAAGAGACTCTCCAAATGGCGACTCTCTCTAAATGGAGAGTTTCTGTCAGAAATTGAGTATATTATAAAAGAGAACATTTAAAATCCACAGTTATTAAACTTTAAAGTTATATAAATCATGTCCTTAATTTACATATAAGGAACATGTTTATCAATTTACTCAACGCCTCACAGCAAAATAATGGATGTTGGATTAGGACCCGACGACACCTGATTTGACACATATTTTGCCATCCCACACATCCCTTTAACATCTCCTTTGGTTAAGCTGTGTCCTTCCAACAGAAACACTAAAAGCTTTCTCTTCTGATATGGTAGCCTCTCTGTTTTTAATTTGCATTATGATAAAAATTTTGGTAAAACACTAAATACTAATAAAAGTAAGAGTAGCAATGAATGAATTTTATGGGATAAAGTATATCTACTTTTTGAAAAATAATTCTGAAAACCCCCATCTGATGTGGGGTAGAGTGAAGACATAATGACTGGAATTAGTTCTCAAGTCAAGTAATGTTTTGACTCACTTCTGGTAAAATTCATCAGCATATCACAAATTGAAGGCTGAGAATAAGAAAAAGTGAGGCACATATGTATCCAAATAGTCACAACAAATTCCTTTAATATTTGTTAATTATCTACTTAAGGTAGACACTTTACTACATGCTTAGGATGAAGATGTCAAAGATATAGAACAAGACAAGAGAGGTAAGTTGAGATCTATTTAGGAGAGGCCTTCCTGCCCTGCTGAGGAACGGCAAACCCTCAAAGGCTTCAAAGCAAAGGAGGGAGATCAGATGTCATATTGCTCCAAGTGTGACACATGGATTGAGACAGAAGGTAGTTTGGGAACCATTTGAACAAACTGCAAGGGATGACTGGGCCCTGTGATAGTGGACAGAGAGTAGAGAAACCAAATCCTAGAAATAAAGAGATCATACATTTGGGAAGATTTAGGAGTTTGGAAAGTGCCAGGAGGCAAAGATAAGACTACATTTTTAGCTATTGCACTTGTGAAGTTGGTACCGTTATTAAATGAAATACTAGTAATGAACTGAGCAGAAAAGTGAGGAGAAAGAGCAAATTAATTTTGTTCTATATCCAGTTTGGTGCATCTGTAGAATACACAAATGGAAAAGCCCAGTAGGTCCAGATCATGATTTCTCAACCTCAGCGCTACTGACATTTGGGACTGGATAATTCTCTGTGCGTAGTAAGATGCTTAGCAGCATCCCTAAAATCTACCCATTAGGAGCCAGTAACACCTCTCCCAGCCCTGACAAAATAAAATGCTCCAGACAATGCCAAATCTCCCTAGAGGAAACAAAAACACCCCAACTTGAGAACCACTGGGTCTAGAGCTTGGAAAAGAAGTTTGGGTTGAAGACTGTGCTTCGTTGTCTAGGAGATAGTTGAAGTATTGGAAACAGGTGACATCACCAGGGGAAAGACTGAAGCATAAAAAAGTGAGGACACCAATATTCAAGAGAAAAGATTTGCCAGCAAAAATGACATGGTGTGAACCATGAAGTAGGCGAAAAAAGTAAAAGCCAAGAGAAGAATAAAGTTTAAAAAAGTTGGGAGGCCAACAGGACAAATTCAGCAAAACAATCAAAGGGGAGAAGTCATTGGTCTGGAAATTTAGGAGTGACCAGCAATAGAAGGGAAGTTGTGTTGAGGGGTGCACAGGAACTGGGAAAATAACCATCATGAGAAGCTACTGCACTTTTGCAAAATTTTATGGTGATGAAAGTCAGCAGCACCACTAATGGGCGATGGGTGTGAATGAGGATTGCTATAATTTTTCTTAGGATATGGTGCAGTTTTTGACACGGTTTTCACATTCCTGCCTGGGGAAGGCATCTCTTAGGAGGATCCTTGCTTCCTAATTGAGAATGATGACCACATGCCAGAGGTATGTACTTCAAGAGACAGATTTAACTGAACTATCATGGAATACCATATAATTATTTTGTTTTAATGGTTTGACTTCAAACTCTCTATAAATTTTATCTGATTTCTAAAATGATCTCACATGTAACCCTCCACAAAGCAATACTTCTTCCTGAAAACTCCTTTTAATTCCTGCCATAAAACCTCTTTTCTAGCTTTCAGGTGGTATAATGAGCTTAGAAAATACTGTGGCTGTCCAGCACAGCAGCTGCTCGTTTCAGTGTGGCTCCGCATTGCTCTGCAAGCAGACGGTGGGGGTGACGTTTTAAGCATATCCCTTATCGTGGAGAGATGTGATAGAAGGCAGGCCGGATGCCTTGCAGGCAGAGAGAACACACGGGTGACGAATGAACAAGCATGAAAAACGGACACTTGTCAGCTAGGCATTAGATGTAAAACAGAACGGTTCAGAATCATGTGGGCATTCCTGTCAGGAAAAAGATGAATTTAGGCCCTTGGAAGACCTTTACGATTCTAAATTTCTGTGTGTTTTTTCCATTCGTTCTAAGGCTGCTACCAAAATAAGTATAAAGTTCTTTCATTATAAACTAGATTACTTTTGCAAAGTCAACTTGGCCTACCTCCGATTTAGTCATTGATTCCACCAATTAAAAGAAAAATCAGCTTTGTCATATGCATGTGTTCAGAGAGCTGTTTATTTAGGAACATGAATGTTGGCTTACTAAATCCATAAAGAGAAATCCAATTAGCAGATGTAGAATTAGGCCTGAAACTATATGGATTTCTATTTACCATTTACACAGTAATCAAAGGAAAGGAGTTTGAATACAAACGCATTCGTGGGTGCAAACAGTCTCATTTTCTGTTAGACAATTTTGATGCCTTCAATGATTTTTTTTTGCACAATAATAATACTGCAGTTACAAATTATTTACGATGTGGAATACCTTAATTCATGGCATTCTCCGAACATGAACTCTGCTTTCAGACAATGTAAAGAGAAAAGAAGGTTAAGACTTGTGGCCTTCACCTTCCTCATTTGTAAAATGACTGGATGCTTTTGAAGGTCTCCTTTGTCATAAGAGCCTACGACTGAATAGGCTAACATTTAAATGTGCATTTTAGGGGAAAAAACTTATCCTTCGTTAAATAAGTATTTCTTGATTGTGATAATTCTTTAGGGAAATATACCAATGATCAGTGTCCAAGAGTAACAATAGAAATTATTATTTTTTAAAAATATTTTTATTGATTTTTGAGAAAGAGGAAGGGAGAGGGAGACAAAGAAACATCCTTGTGAGAGCGTAACATCAATCTGCTGCCTCATGCAGGCCCCCTACCAAGGATGGAGCCTGCAATCCCCGCCCCTCCAACATGTACCCTGAAGAGAATCAAACTGGCAACCTTTCTGTGCAAGGGATGATGTCCACCCAACTGAGCCACACCGGTCAGGGCAAGAAATTATTATTATTATTATTATTTTTAAATATATCTTTATTGATTTCAGAGAGAGGAAAGGAGAGGGAGAGAGTCACTGATCGAGCCCACAACCCGGGCATGTGCCCTGACCTGGAATCGAACCCTGATCGCCTGGATCCTAGGTCGACGCTCAACCACTGAGCTACACCCGGCCGGGCAAGAAATTATTTTTCTATAATCTAGAAGTTGATGCATCTTTGAAGAGGACAGCTAAAGTTTTCCTCTCAGGACAATTTTCATGGAATTTTTCGACACTTGGATAGACAGGTATGGGTAAGAGTTTGACAACAGGAGAAGGGTGGTTTCAGAAGATTCGGTGTTAAAAATGTCAGAAAATTCTTCATACAGAGCTAAGGAAGAATCACAAAAGCAGATGAATATTAAAGCTCAGATGATTGTGGATGCACTTGGAATTACTTTGAGAAAACTAATTTTTTGT